ACCATGTCTCATGTGAATCGAAAGGGAATTGGGAGAGGAGTGATGTCACCTCGGTTTCAAGAGCTCTTGCACGTGCTCGAGTCATAGGTCCAAGTGGTGTTGTAGGGGATGTAGATGCGTCCATGGGGATGATCATGGGATGCTCCGCATCAGATGTGAACTAGATTATTGATTCTAGTAAAACTCTTTGGGTATTAGTCACATGGCGATGTGAACTAATCACATGGTGATGTGAACTATTGGTGTTAAATCACGTGGCGATGTGAACTAGATTATTGACTCTAGTGCAAGTGGGAGACTGAAGGAAATAGGCCCTAGAGGTAATAATAAAGTTGTTATTTATATTTCCTTATATCATGACAAATGTTTATTATTCATGCTAGAATTGTATTAACCGGAAACTTGGTACATGTGTGAATACATAAACAAACAGAGTGTCCCTAGTATGCCTCTACTAGACTAGCTCGTTAATCAAAGATGGTTATGTTTCCTGACCATAGACATGTGTTGTCATTTGATGAACGGGATCACATCATTAGAGAATGATGTGATGGACAAGACCCATCCGTTAGCTTAGCATAATGATCATTTAGTTTTATTGCTATTGCTTTCATCATGACTTATACATGTTCCTCTAACTATGAGATTATGCAACTCCTGAATACCGGAGGAACACCTTGTGTGCTATCAAACGTCACAACGTAACTGGGTGATTATAAAGATGCTCTACAGATGTCTCTGAAGGTGTTTGTTGGGTTGGCATAGATCGAGATTAGGATTTGTCACTCCGTGTATCAGAGAGGTATCTCTGGGCCCTCTCGGTAATGCACATCACTATAAGCCTTGCAAGCAATGTGACTAATGAGTTAGTCACAGGATGATGCATTACAGAACGAGTAAAGAGACTTGCCAGTAATGAGATTGAACTAGGTATGATGATACCGACGATCGAATCTCGTGCAAGTAACATACCGATGACAAAGGGAACAACGTATGTTGTTATGCGATTTGACCGATAAAGATCTTTGTAGAATATGTAGGAGCCAATATGAGCATCCAGGTTCCGCTATTGGTTATTGACTAGAGATGTATCTCGGTCATGTCTACATAGTTCTCGAACCCGTAGGGTCCGCACGCTTAACGTTCGATGACGATTTTTTTTGACACTCGAAACAACTTCGATGACGATTTGTATTATGAGTTATGTGATTTGATGACCGAAGTTTGTTCGGAGTCCTGGATGAGATCACGGACATGACGAGGAGTCTCGAAATGTCTGAGAGGTAAAGATTGATATATTGGAAGGTAGTATTCGGACACCAGAAGGGTTTCAGAGTGTATCGGGTACATACCGGAGTACCGCAGGGGTTACCGAAACCCCCCGGGGAAAGATATGTGCCTTATGGGCCATATGAGGGAGGCTAACTAGCCCACAAGGGGCTGGTGTGCCCCCCACAAGGCAGGAGGCCGAATTGGACTTGGGAAGGGGGCGCCACCCCCCTTTCCTTCTCCTACTCCCTCTCCTTCCCCTTTCCCCCTCTAGTAGAAGGAAAAAAGGGTGGGGCCGAATCCTACTAGGACTAGAGTCCTAGTAGGACTCCCTCTCCCTGGCACGCCCCTTGTTGTCCGGCCTCCTCCTCCCCTCCTTTATATATGGGGGCAGGGGGCACCCCAAAGACACAACAGACAATTGTCTTAGCCGTGTGTGGTGCCCCCCTTCATAGTTACACACCTCGGTCATATCGTCATAGTGCTTAGGTGAAGCCCTGCGCCGGTAACTTCATCATTACTGTTGCCACGCCGTCGTGCTGACGGAACTCTCCCTCGTCCTCAACTGGATCAAGAGATCGAGGGCGTCATCAAGCTGAACGTGTGTTGAATGCGGAGGCGTCGTATGTTCGGTACTTGGATCGGTTGGATCGCGAAGACGTTCGACTACATCAACCGCGTTACTAAACGCTTCCGCTTTCGGTCTACGAGGGTACGTGGACACACTCTCCCCGCTCGTTGCTATGCATCTCCTAGATAGATCTTGCGTGCTCATAGGTAATTTTTTTGAAATACTGCGTTCCCCAACACTGCCACCCTCCTCTCCTCGGTCGCCGCATCTTGGGTCCATGCCATCATCCTCACCTCGTTCGCTTCATTTCTTGCCTTCACAATAGCTTCCATAGCATTTTAAACTCATCATCTCCTTTTCTCTTCTTCTTTTCTTTTGCGTCTTTCTCGCCTCCATTTGGTCTTTTTGGCTTGGAGTAGGCAACCGAGTTGGTGTAGGGCTTCTCTTGCCACCATCACTTAATACCTCCTCCTCATCATCATCCAAATTAATAGTTTGCTTGCGTTTGTTGCTCTCCTCTTTGACACCTTCACAGGGCTTCCATTTCTCATCATCCTTCAACACATCATAGCAATGGGGCAAGGTAAATGGTCTCTCTTTCTTGATCTTCCCTTTCTTGGTCTTCTTCTCCTCTCCTTGAAATAAGTTTTGTGCAATAGTGAGCTACAAACAAAAGAACAAGTTAGCACTTAAAACACCAAAGAAGAAGCATGTGAACATGGAAGAATCATGAAAGAAATGGCACTACCCTATCTCTATCATTAGTGCCACTTGGGTTTATCGTGTCAACCGCTTTAAGTGCGGTCGCCCACCTTTGACAATCTTTGTTGATTGTCAAACACTGGGAGTGAATAGATCTTTCCGTGTGGTCAATTCTACTATTGTTGCGTAAAACAAAGTGCTCCTTCATCCGGATCCAATATGCATCTCTACTTTGGTCCCCTCCAATGATGGCATACCTGGACACTTTCAACCATGTATTGCATAGCAATATGTCTTTGTCCATGGTGTAATTGCCCGCTCTTCCTTTTGGTGCATCAACGATACCCTCACCATCCTCGTCCACCTCAAACTAATGATCATCTAAATGCACTTCATTAGTTTGAGACCAATGAAAATTGTTGGAGCCAACACCCATACTTGACATATATGTCTCATCATTGAAACTACAAAGTACATACGACGAAACTAAATAAGCTATCCATATGTATCCATTCATGTAAAACACAACAAACCGAAAAAAGTGGGCGAAATCATACCTTGTGGGCATTTCATCAAACACCTTGTGCGCATCGACCGCCGGCGCAACAAGCGAGCTCGCCGGCGCTTCGGTTGCCGCCGCATCCGTCGCACGACCTGCAAGTTTCTTCTTCGGCCGCCTAGAGGAGCCGTCCGCCGCTTTGTTCTTCTTCCCGGACACCTTGCCTGCCTTCGCCACCACCGCATTTGGAAGCTTCGAGAAGAGGCCACGTGGCTTCGAGAGGATGCCACCCACCGAGGTCGTCCGTGGCACCATGAAAAGGCCGCGCGCGAGACCGGTGCTTGGAGGAGCAGTGGCGAAGGCGAAGCCAAAGCTTCCCCGGCTAGGGTTTGCGCTGGCGGTGGCGGAGGAGAGGTCGCGGGTGTAGGAAGGGGTTGGGGGGATGTCAGCGCGACCGTCCAACGGGTGAATTCGTCGGCGGCGGCGCGGGGCGGGGCGAAGGCGGGGTGGCGGCAGTGCGGCGCGGGCACTCGAGTGTGCAGCGCGCGAGAGCGGGCACATGAAATAAGCGGTGTGCGATGCCGTTTCGCTCCGCGCGCTGAACCAGGTACGCCACGCGCGCGTTTTTTGCGCCTACTGTTGGAGTTGTGTCGAATATAATGTACAAGGTAGGTTACAATTGGACTTGTAGTTGTATTGTGTTTAGATAGGATATGGAGTCGTGTCCTATTAGAACACTTGTATCCTAAGCCTTTCATGCTAGACACACGATGTAATCTATGCCAACATAATAACACCGAAACGCAGGGGAAGCCGGCGGCATGTGCCGGTGTCCAGGGCGCCGTGTGCGGTATTGTAGCGGTGTCATGGGGATGAGCGCCCATAGTCAAGCCCCCGGGATGTAGCCATATCGGTGAACCTCGTTAACAAATCTCGGTGTCGTGCTCGTGTGACTGGTTGATCCTTGGATGATCAACGGTATGCCTCGGATTTATTCTAACACCTACTATGAAGCGTTCGAAACGGCTGCGCGCATGAAAAAAATAGAATTTTTCCAGCGGGGCGCTAATATCGCGCACCTATTGGTGATGCTCTAGCCAGCATGTTCAGGGTGCACTGATGCATTTTACTCGCCGCCGGGCTCCCGAAGTCCCGATGGCCCTTGGCCGACTGACTCGAACTCTCGAAGGAAACGCCCCGCGAAAAGAAAGAAAAAACTCTCGAAGGAAACGCTGTCTCCCGGCGAATATTCGCACCCAAGCCCATTTTCACTTCCTCCCACGCCTCCGACCACCGCCCGTTTCCAAATCCCCAATTCCATCATCTCTCAAGCTCCAACACACGCCGATCTCATCGGGAAATTCGATCAGTTCGTCGCCTGCGCGCCGACTCGAAGGAAATCCTAACCCTAGCTCTTGCACCATGGCGACCTCACTGGTGGCGGCGGCGGAGACGGCGCTGGAGGATCTGCCGGAGGATGCGCTGCTCGCGATCCTGGCCTTCCTCGCGCCGGCCGACGCCGCCGCCGCCGCCTGCACCTGTCGCGCCCTCTTCGCCGCGGCGTCTTCCCCGGCGCTCCCGCTAGCGCTCGCGCTCCGCCTCGGCCTCCCGCCGCCGCGGCCCTCCCCTGAGGCCTGCCCGGCCTCCGTGCGTCGCCTCTTCCGCTCCCTCCACCGCCTACGCCGACTCCTCGGCCTTTGGCGCCGCCTCCCCTCCTCCCACTCCGGCTCGCCATCCCTCGTCGCGTTCGAGTGGGCTCCGCGCGCCACTCTCGCTGCCTCCCTCCTCGCACCCTCCAACCGCGGCCTCGCCGTCTCCAAGTCCCCCTTTGTGACCCTCTCCGTCGCGGAATCCGGTGACACGGTGGCGGCTCTCGGAGAGGTTCCGGTCTGCGTCAATTTCGTCGGGGACAACCACATTGTGGTGGAGGCGGCGTCGGGGGAAGATGAGGAAGAGGGGATGGAAGGAGGATCTCCGCCGGAGGAGATGTATATGCATTTCGCGAACCGTAGGAGCCCCGGGGCAGGGAGGAGAAGGCGGGAGAGGCATGGAAGGAGGAAAGGTGGTCGAATGGAGCCTGAACACTTTGTGAGGATTCCAGATGCTGAGCCGACCAAAGCGCGGCCGCTGCAGGGCCTGTGGAAGGTGCTTCCTTTGCACACACAGCTTGCTCCTTTGTTGTTGCATAGTATTCTCCTTGGAGTAGTTGATTGATATACTAATACTCTCATGGAGTGCATGCGGAATCGGTACTGTTACTGATACTGTGAAATGTGGTTGCTCGTGTGAGGAATTGTCATAGATCAGCTGTCTGTTGTTGCACCTATTGGCATAGGTCAGTTTTGGGAGTTTGCCATATCAGATCAGAATTTAGCATGCACCCTTGCGGATAATATGTTTGTTCATGTGTGATTACTCCGCTTTTTGAGTATCTGTACTTTGACATGAATTGCGTGCACTATAAGAGGATTAGTTGGTTATTACTCCCATGGTCAGGTGATCATCACTATTATGTTGATTGGAGATGACTGAGTGTTAGGAGCTAGGGTTCTGCCGGTTCTAGGGCGGATATTGTAGGGGAAAGATGGAGGAAGACGAGGTCGAGGGCGCGGCGGCCGACGGCTGGGCGCTGTCCTTGCGTGGTGGAGAAGAGGCGGCGGCGGCGCAAGAGGCGGCTACGGTTAGGTCTCCCGACTCCCTAAGGGAAGCCGAGCAAATACTGATTGCTTCTTGCTTGATTAGATCGATACATGACCTCTCCTTATATAGAGAGGTTTACTTGACTCCTAAGCAAACGATAAGATAATTGGGCTAAGCACCTAATAACGATAAGATAACTTGGGCCACAACCCACTGGGCTAAGCCCCTAATATGACGGTCATAACACTTCTCCCCGCCTGCACGTCCTCGATCTGTAAGGCGGGGAAGCGCTTGCTGAACTCCTCGCGGTGGTCAACCAGCGTCAAACACCTTCGCGACAGCTGGGTCGGCGCGACGGCGTCCTCCTCAATGTAGTCTGCAGCCTCCAGGTAGAAGAGTCGCGGGCAGACGTGGCCGGGCGTGTAGGGCTCGTCGCAGTTGAAGCACAACCCTTGGCGGCGACGCTCGAGTAGCTCGGCCGAGGTGAGCCGGCGGAACGGGTGTGCCGCGACCGCAGCGAGGGGTGCCGCGGAAGCCTGAGCAGGCCGACCTTGCGCGGGAACATCCGGCCCGGGTAGCGGCCCGGCGGCCCGGGACGGTGATGCCTGCTGGATGGCCACCGCGCGGCGCTCGAGCGCGCGAGCGTAGTACATGGCCGTCTGGAGGTCCTGGGGTCCTTGCAGCTCGACGTCCACGCGGATGTGGTCTGGAAGGCCCCCGACAAAGAGCTCGGCCCGCTGTAGTGCCGTCACACTCGGCGCGTGACACGCCAGGGCCTGGAAGCGGTCGGCGAAGTCCTGCACCGTGGAGGTGAAGGGTAGGCGGCCCAACTCCGCCAGGCGGCTCCCGCGGATCGGTGGCCCAAAACGAAGGAGGCACAGCTCGCGAAAGCGCTCCCACGGGGGCATGCCGCCCTCGTCCTGCTCGAGGGCGTAGTACCACATCTGTGCTGCACCGCGGAGATGGTAAGAGGCGAGCCAAGTGCGATCCGACGCGAGTGTGTGCTGCCCGCGGAAGAACTGCTCGCACTGGTTGAGCCAGTTGAGGGGGTCCTCCGTGCCGTCATAAGTGGTGAAGTCAATCTTGGCGAACAGTGGCGGCGTCTGGGTCAGAGCGCCATGGACGACTGGCTCGGCGGTGCGGGGCAGCGATGACGGCGGCACCCGGTCGGTGGTGGGGTGGCCGGCGTAGGGGCCCGCGGAGCCGGACGGGTCACCGTACTGCAGCGTGGGTACCGGTGGTTCCCCGGCCTCTGTGTAGGCTGGCGGTGGTGACGTCCCGGTCAGCCAGGTCGGAATCAGGGACGGCGACGGCGGAAAACGGACGTGCTGTATCGGGAGGCCGCCTGGTGTGGACTGGCCCAGTCCGGAGCTAGGCGGTTGCGATGGAAGATGGACTGGCGCGGGTGGCGCGGCTGGGCCCGGCGCGGCCCAGTGCGGCCACTGTGGCGCTGGGGCGGGCGCGGGTGGCGCCGCGAGAGCCAGCGCGGGCCACTGCGGCCAGGATGGCACGGGGGCGGGCGGCGGCTGGAGCAACGGGGCCCCGGCGATCGCCGCGGCGATTACCAGGGCAGGGCCGGCGGCCCGGAGGAAACGACCGGCGGCGGAGGTGTTGGCGGCCCGTACGGACAGGCCAGGAACAGCCGGATGCCCTGGACCGCGACGACCAGATCGTTGAGGACGCCGGTCATCGCCTCCGGGGAGTAGACGAGCGGCATGGTGGAGGGTGATGGCGGCAGCCGCGTGGAGGGGGGCGGCGACTGGCAGGTCGATGCGCCGGCGGTGGATCCCATCGGCGCCGAGGGAAGGGCCAGCGGTGCCGTGGATGATCGGTGATGGCGCGGCGGCGGTGGTGGCGAGGAGCAGCGACGGGCTTGGTGGTGGTGATGACATGGTCAAAACCAAGCTAGCTGATACCAAGGTGTTAGGAGCTAGGGTTCTGCCGGTTCTAGGGCGGAGATTGTAGGGGAAAGATGGAGGAAGACGAGGTCGAGGGCGCGGCGGCCGGCGGCTGGGCGCTGTCCTTGCGTGGTGGAGAAGAGGCGGCGGCGGCGCAAGAGGCGGCAGGGTTAGGTCTCCCGGCTCCCTAAGGGAAGCCGAGCAAATACTGATTGCTTCTTGCTTGATTAGATCGATACATCACCTCTCCTTATATAGAGAGGTTTACTTGACTCCTAAGCAAATGATAAGATAATTGGGCTAAGCCCCTAATAACGATAAGATAACTTGGGCCACAACCCACTGGGCTAAGCCCCTAATATGATGGTCATAACACTGAGATATCTCTTAGATTGAAGTAGCGTAGCAGCAAGGTTGGCACTGAAAATTGGATATGTTAGTTATTGTATAAATTGTTTTTGATTGAATGCTATAATTGAATTTCTGTCCATTTTCTCATGGCACAATTTATGGAGTTTGAGATATCTGTGCAAGTTAAAATTGTGCGCATTCATAGTGTTTGCCCCTGGGCCTCTATGCTAACCTGCGTATCATGCACATGGTTGGCATTGAGTTTGAAATATCGGTTGAAGTTCAAGTTGGCATGCTTGTTATGGTGGACCACACCTATGACTGTCAAAGGAGGTCACTTCGAATTGATTGTCGCTAAAGAGAGCATGAAGGTGTTTGTTTTAGAATTGAACTATGGGTAACCTAGGTAAATTTAACTGTTCTTAAAATCATAGCCATTTGAAAATCAGAGTCTTTGTGAAGAAAAATTGCTCAGTGACAGTTGTGTTGACTTTGAGTTCTTGTTAGAATAGCTATTTTTTGGTTTTCACAGATAGTGCTAATGAAAGGGCAAGGGCAGTACCACCAGAGGTGGTTTTCCTTGCTAGCATGGCAAATAGTTTCTTTCATGGTTCACTGTTCATATCACCCCGCGAACACATAATGCTGTGTGGAAGCTATATCTGCAGTCAGAATCCCTGTTGTGTCATGATACGAGAACGCATGGCAACAAGACTGTATAGACTGAGAATGTAATTCTCATTGGATAACAAAAGCTTGAAAACTTGGTGTAGTTCCATTTAGTGCCGCCGCCAGAACTAAGGATATAACATTACTGCCTAAGAGGTTTCAGTTCCTACTTGTTTGGGATGACTAGGACTTCTATCCTAAAAGCTCAAATAAATGTTATTTTTTGGGTTTATTTTTGGAAATGAAAGGCTAGCAAAATTCGCAAGTTCAACTCCTCTGATATTTACTATTTTATCATCAACCAGTGATTTAATTGAGAAACTATTGTAAAGGCTGCATAGAATTGGCGGTGCAAGTAACTGCTTTCTTCGTAGTCGCGATGTTGAGTGCTGAATTTGACAAGTGGTTGCAGTACTGCCAGTGCAAAAAATTGCACCCCCACTCCCCATATGTCTCTGTGACTAGGAGCCCTGTTGGTGGATAGAAAATTGAAGAGAACCTTCCCTTACCATGTTAGAGGCTTTGGAAAGTATGGGTTATTTCCTGTGGATGCATAGCAATTGCTATTTACTAGTATGAGATTTCAGACAAGGTTTGCGTGCAACTTTTAAATATGATTTCATTTTTGCTTGTTTCTCTCTATCTCCTGTTATGTGTAGCAAATTAGCTCATGAAAGACAGTTCCACAATTATGATTTGCTGTTCTAGTTTGGTGTTACTGATTTTGTTCATCAGAAACTCTGTTATGTTTATATCGTCTATAGATTGTTTTCATTAGTATTTGGAGATTGACATTGTCTTAAAAGATATAGTCCAATAGAAGGTTAATGTGTATATATGATACTCCCTCCATTTCAAAATAAGAGTTGTGGTTTTAGTTCAAGAACTAAACCACAACCCTTATTTTGGAACGGAGGGAGTATATATCATCAGCTGATTTCTCAAATCACTTTTCTTAGTTTACAGAATATCTTTTGTAATTTAAGAAACTGATGCTAACCTTTATTTTCCTCAAACAGGGTGTATGCGAGAATAAGACTCTGGAATTTTACATTATCAGCTATGACGACATTGGTGGAGTGACTTGTCGACGAGTTAGTGAGAATAGGGGGCAAAACTCAGGCTACTCCCCTGTCTTCTGGACTACAGATGCTACATTTCTTGAACCACCATTCTCTGAACGGGAGCTGGATCGTTATAGTTGCCTTGAGCATATTGGAGTTGTTACTTGTGGCCATACAGAGACTTGGAACAAGGCAGTCTCTCGGATACTGTGCATCAATTCAAGTTTTGACCTGGTTCATCCTCATCTGTTAGCTCCCTTTGATGATACCAGGAATGTAGAGGGGAGGATTTGGCTTTATGAAGATGGAACCTTTGGGTTCGGATTCACTGGAAGTAATTCAATTATAGATCTGAAGCATGTCTCCATGGATGGTTGTATTATTGATACATCATCCTAAAGATATGTCCTTCTGGCATGTAATTGTTGCTAGGACTAGGAAGCCATCTGTACATCATTCTTAGGAAAAAAAATTGCATCTGGCATGAAGCATATTGCTTCCAGTTGTTGTACTACTACTATAGATGGCAATTCGCCAGATCTGGCCCTTTGGTCTTGTACTTGTTCGTAGGATAACCGTGTATCCTGATACTGCACTGAATGGTGGTCCCTTCTGGCATTTACTTGTTGCTAGAATACCCTTGTAACATTATTACAAAATTTAATTCTCAATAAATTGGAGTTGCTACTTCTTCGTAGGTGCTGTTTTGTTGTCCCATTTTAGGTGAATGCTGTGCCGTTAAGGGCAGTCACCACTTTTTGCTCAGCTATCAAAATAATTGGTTCACCAATGTATCAGCTTAGCACTTCAGTTCAACCGCGCTGTGTGGATAGGTAAACAGGTAGTGTTCTACTCTTGCATATAGTTTCGTATTACTTGCAGTTGCATTTCTCAAGAGCATATATCCCTGTGCTCCATTCTCGAGAGGTAGTTTGCCTGTCACATCTCTGCATATAATTTCAGTCGGTTTGTATCTGGTGGTAAGTGGTAACAGTGATTTACACAATCTTAAGTTTCCATTTCTTGTATATCAATGCTGTTATACTTGTCTTTCTAATAAACTTGTATCGTCTATCTTTCTCCTCTAGGTGTAGATTTGCTTATCATGAGCCCTCTTCTTCAGCGCAAGTCGCCATGTGGAGCCCAGTAGTGAAAGGCCTGAGGACGCCTAGCTGTTTTTGTGGAAATGCCTCTACATGTACATCACATACGGTCAGCAATTCAAGACCAGTGTTCTGTGTGCACTGTCTGCAGTGATTAGTAGTGATTACTACTTCCCTGGTAGAATATGGTACTGCCAGTCTACCACTTTGCCAAACAGTAGGAAAACGTACAGCTAAGAATAGCAAGCAGATGCAGATTCTATTGTTTGGCCAGGGGATACACAGTATCGCAATAAAGATAAGGAATAGTTTCCCCGTTTCCTACTTTTATGCTTCTGGTTCATGAATATAAATATTCATTCTAGGTCCAAGATCTCTTTGGAGCTACTCATCTTCATTATGTGAAATGCCGCATTATCTACATTTAACAGGTATTTTTGGACTAATATTTTATGTTGGTATATACTCCCTCCGTCCAAAAATAAGTGCCGTGTCAAATTTGGACCAAAACCACGACATTTATTTTGGGACGGAAGGGAGTACCACATCATTCATCATTCCGGTTGATTATTAGTTATGACTGTCCCAGGACGCTCTTCATTTTGGTACTGCATATGGCTAATTCCTTACTCCATTCTTAATATTCTCCCTTTACATGTCAACCGACATGTGTGTTAAGGTCCCTCGTGATAATTCTATGTTGTCCTGCTGTCATAATTACAAATAAGCAAATGAAACAGTTGATGGGAGGAAATTGGCATGCTAGTTGGTCAAAGGACAGCTAGTGATGGTGTCAGGATATCCAAGCTGGGTGCCTGCCTGGTAATCCCAACAGCTGGCAAGTGACTGCCATGATTGATCCTTGAAATTTAGAGCAATTTCTGATCCTCTCATACACTACATTTCAGCTGGCAAGTGACTATAGTTTTCTTCCCAGGGACAGGTTGGTCGTCTCATGATCTCGCAGCGTTCTGATGGCCTTGTGTACTTTTCAGCTGGCAATGAGATTCTAGGGGCGCAAATAAATTGGAACAAGGTAGAAAAGGCCCTATCTGATTTATGCATCTGAACTAATTTTGTCCATCCTCTTGGGCTAACAAGCCGAAATAATGGAACATAAAGAGGACAAATCATGTTGTGGCCATTCAAATCTTTCTCAGTGAATGCATTTTTTATATCCTGTGTTATAAATGGCTTGCCAGTGATATCTTAAGATGTTTGCTTTGCTAATGATGCCACACCCTACATTGTATAGTATAGTTGTATCTTTGGATGACTTCCTTTTCAGTTAATTATGCATAATAGAATACTTCTTCAGTACTGTATCCCCAACACAATGATCTATCATTACTTGCTTCAAACCTGCTAGAAAGCTTTGTTCTATCATCGACGCACAAAAATATATATCATATTTGTACAGCTTGTTGTAATGTCTATTTCAGTACTGATTAATTAATGGGCCTCCAGATCTGTACCTATTCTTTTTGGGGTACCAGCTCATTTCTTTTCTGTGGAAAGATTAAAGTTGTTCAGAGTTTTCTTCTTTTAGACATAAAATAAGTTTTGCCCCTATTACCTATTCTTCTTTAGCCAAATGATAAATCAACTTACATTTCTCTTGCTTGTATGCACACAGACGTCTTCGAACCAGGTAGAGATATTTTGACATGGATATAACAAGGTTTACATGCGTACAAGGCAATAACATAATTGTCTTTGGAATGCACTTGATCTCGATTGGAAAATCTCAAAAGAACCACGCAGCAGAAGGATACACTGCTCTGGTGCAAATGCAGAAGGGCTCGTTATTCATCTATGGATATCCTCAAGGACTGACTAATACTCCGAGTCTTCATCATCCACTGACCCGGCACTCTGTGACGTCTTGTCGTGGTCGTTCTCGAGCTGGCTGAAATTGCCCTTCTCTTTGATCAGCTGGGTGTGGTGGTGCTTGCAGAAGAGCTTTCCCTCGTGCGCGATGTAATTCGAAGGGCTGATGGTGCACCCTCCATGGCAGCATTTGAAGCAGCTCTTGTGGTACATGGTGTTGTTCACAGTAACCTGCAGAGTTGGTGCGGGTGTCATGATCAGAGCACTGCTATGTATGCAAACCAAAGAGGTATGATATGAACAATACGTCCGCGTCGCCTTGTCTTGTCATAGAAAAAGAAGATTAATAATTGAATGCCCGACTTGGAAATGCAGCAGATGAATATGAATCCAGCCACATGTTGTTAAGTAAAGGAAACTCCAGCTAAAAAGTAGCAGTCCAGAAGATAATAAAGCAGATACTTAATTGAGACATAAGAGTAGAAAATAATAGTACCCTCTCAATTGGATAGACCGTCTTGGTGCATCCAAAACATTTCTCTCTGGTGCCAGCAAATGCGCTCGAGACTTTAGTAGCATTCTGCCAAGAAAACACTCATGATAAGCATCACCAAATGTGGTACTAGCTCACAAAGAACAAAGGATCAATAATGCCGATTAGTTGCACGATTTTGTCGATATTCTGCCTATCAGTTTGCAAAACGTCATTTTCTATTGAACTAAGCTCCCTATCTGTTCGGATCCGGCGTTGCACTACCTTTCTTGTTAATGAATAACACGGAGCTCTCTTGCATGGTTTGAAAAGAAAAGGAAAATCTATGTATGTTTTGGATTATCTTGGGTGTGTGTTTTTGGACCATCTTTGGAAAAAACAATACTAATGATCTACTCCCTCCGTAAACTAATATAAGAGCGTTTAGATTAAGTAGTGATCTAAACGCTCTTATATTAGTTTACGGAGGGAGTACTTTGCAAAGAATAGATAGATGTTAGAGGATATTAGTGAATACCTCATTCCCAACATTCCTTTCTGGCTTGACAACCTTTGGAGTGCCTGAATCAACATTTCTCCATTAGTTTCTGAAGAATTGCAAAGGAATGCAGTGTGATAGGCTAAGGCCGTACCTTCGAAGCTCTTGTCCAGGCTGCCGGTCCTCTTGAAGAGCTGGTCAAAGTGAGGCCTGCAGTAGAGCACTCCTTCGAAGGAGTTGTAATTCGCGAGCTGCGCCAGGGAAACATAGAACAAGTTGAACAAGTGACATCTCAAACTGAAGAATGCGGTATGATATGAGGCAGGAGGACTGAGGAAGGGGGAAGGGGGAAGGGGGAAGTGGTACCTTGAGGGTGCCCTTGCAGTGGTGGCACCTGAAGCAGGCCTTGTGGTAGACCCGGTTGTCGGCGGTGAGCTTGTCGACGAGGTACACCGTCTTGTCGCAGGCGTTGCACTTGGTGGTCGTCCCCTGGAACGAAGTCGCCATTGCCTCTTCCGATCTGCAAGCTGCTGCTCTGATAGATGGGGTGATGGCGAGGCGTTCTTCCAACACAAGACTGGCTTGGCTTCGCTCCCGACAGGCCTGGGGGCGAGTGATGATTATATGGTGGTAAATGGCGTGGCGCGGTTGGTGGTGGCCTGCAGCTGCAGGTATTGCATGTTTGCTGCCGCGAGGCGGGGCAGGACAGCTTGGGTGAGACAGGGAATAATGTTGGGGGTGGAAGCAAAGAGCCAGGACGAGTAGTAGTACTAGTCAAGTGGGAATGAGATTGTAGCAGCTCAAGGAAACGAAAAAGGAGGTGGTGGTTGTGGAAATTTGCGGAGGGGCTAAGCAAAATCCACGTGGTAACTGGTGATGACGTGGCAGGGAGAGAAAGCATTTGGGGTGAAAGGTAAATGCCAGCTGATTTCCATCTTGGGGATTTGAGGGGGCTAAAAACCCACGGTAATTTATATTCTTGACATGCTCTCTCTCTCTCTCTCTCTCTCTCTCTCTCTCTCTCTCTCTCTCTCTCGTTAAGTGTAATAATCTTTGAGGGTCCCTGATTGAAACGTGCTGCCAGCACACCATATGCACTGGATGAACCAAAGCTCAGTCGGTGGGTCTGCTGGGTGAGAGCATCTTCAATAGAGGATGTAAAAGTTGGTGTCCGAAAATAATAATAAAAAGTTTTTAGACACCTGAAATTTTTAATTCCGTAACATAATTGCATATTTCATAATTTCTAACTCTAATACAAAATGTTCAACATTTAACATTAAAACGACATCACACTAGATAACTAAAAACAGTCCTATGTTAAATCATCACACTACTCATCGTCACACCTACAATACACCATCATGGGAAAGGCGTCTTTGTACGCACAAGGTACCCGTCAAAGTTGTCGTCGTTAGATCCTGATCTGGCGACTTTGGGATTGCTCATACTCAGGCCAGCCGAAATCCACGCTCGGCTTGCCGATGCTGGCAGCGGCGACACTCGCGGGTGCCATTTTCCTTCTTGGAGGCGCTGCCTTGGCCTTGATATGTGACCCTCGTCGAGCAGCAGGGGAAACTCTAGGTTCGGTTCTCCGGATCGGATGGCCACGGCGTCACGACGTCGTTCCTCTTCTTGAAGGCGCTGTCTTGCTAGATCGTTGTGTCCCGGTGTTGGACTTGAAGATGTTTGACGTCCTGTTGATTTGGTTTGCTCCTCTAGTTTTAGTTTTGGCGGGTTTAGTTGTGTTTCACTTTGTTCGAGCTAAGCACCCCGTCTCTCTGCCGAGGGTACCATGTTCATGCCTCCTTGCGTTCATGTCATGTGTTGTATCTACTGTTGTACTCATTCTCTTTCCTTCTATCAATGAAAAGATACGCAAGCTTTGCGTATTTGTGAAGTCGTCGTCATCGAGTTGATGTCGATTGCCTCTTCGGCCGAGGGGCCTACCTCGTGGTCATTGCCGGTAGAAGGCTTCACCTCCTCCTCATCGAAACAACCTTCCTTGTCAATTTGGTCGAACAACTCATGGACCTCGACTTCTATACTGTGTTGGTGCTCCTCGTCCTCCTTCACGCGCTCCGTGTCCCTCTTGGCATAGAATGCAAGCTCTGCCACCACGAGTACCGGGTTAGCTTGGGCCAGCTTCGTCATGTGCAGCTAATAAGTGGCCTCGACTCTACGTGCCTTCTCCGCACTAGACCATGGAAGGGGTGAGGAATCTGTATGGCCAGCCACCTCGGGGAAATTGAGCTCGGCCAAGCTCCGATCGTATCGAACTGCCACTGCATCATACGCGAGCACCGCGAGCTCCTCGGTCTCAAAGGTGCTGAGCCACTCAGGTGATCTCGGCGGCGAAGTGGCCCGACGCCGATGACGAACACCACGGTACGGCATGGCGCTCGCGATGGCTAGTGCGACAACATCTTCGACGGGAGGCAGCGGAGAAGCCCGGTGGCGACAAACAAAATGACTGGTGGAGAAGCTAAGCTCGACTGCGGCGGACGAAACAAGCGCCGATGGCGGCAATGGACGAAACGGACGCCCCACGACCGAAATGGACATATCTAGTGGCGGGGATGATGGATCCGGCGACGATGGGCGGAAGCCGATGGTGGCGGCCGGATTCGTGCGGTGCGGGGATGTGGCACGACGAACGACAGAAATGGGGACAGATTTGGGGAGCAGAGTGACCCGTGGCGGCCAGAATCGGCAGCGGTGCCATCCAGCGACGAAGCACACAGTGCCGGTCCTGAGATTTTGAGGGCCCGGCGAACGTAAAATTTGAGGCCTCTTAATATAAACATCATAGCAATGATAAATAATGATTCTAAAAAAAGCAATGATGATAAATAATTTATGCATCTACAAAATGTTATTAATGATTACTTAAATGCATCCGAAAGCCAATATTTATATAAAATAACTTATACAATTTACCTACAAATTTTCTTGTAGAATTCTCCGATGCAAAGCCATTGTGTCGTGTCAATCTCATCCATCAATTTCTTCTCGATACATAATTTGTTCATCAATAATTTCAAGTTGGAAAGCATTCTTTTAGCTAATGCAACAATCACCGATACAGTACATAAATCCAAATAAATCTTTAAACACCATGAGTTTTTTAAATCCTTTCTTCAAAGAAGTGATCAATTAAAACAAACAAATATTTAACATGAAAATCCTTCCAACTTCTAGAATTCCTTCTTGGCTACCACTTTTATCAAACTATTTCTTCCTCTAGCACGAAGTTTTACTGAAAATTGTAGGAAAATTACAGTATGATATACCTTGGATTGATTAGATCGGCGTCAGTGGCTGGACGCTCGGCGACGATGCGATGACGTTTTCTGGTGGCGGGCGCTCGGCGATGTGCGTGCTGCGTCGTCGCTGCGTTCAGCGCCGGGAGACCTGGGAGGGGGGCCCTCGATCCTGGGGTGAAGCAGCCCATAAGCCATAGATTTAGGTTGTGCGCGCCTAAATTTATGTTGTGAGGCAGTCCCACAAGCGCTATAGATTTGCAGCACTTGGAGCTAAAATTTAAGGCCACTGCAATTTTTCTTTACACTAAATAGAGATACATCCCCAAACCGTATTTTGTTTGGACATGACCGTTGTTTTATATCATCAATTGAAGATGTTCTTATTTCCAGCATGCGGTTGCTTCTTGTGCAAGTGGAACAAGTCAGTTTGGCAAATATTTCTAGGTTGCTTCTTGTTAAAGTACTCACAGAAAAAAGTGCTAACAGAAAAATCAAAGTGTCTTTTTCTTTTGTGTAAATTCCATTTCAAGTCTGTGCGCACTCCCTTCAACCTAAAAATAAATAAATGGTGAGTGCATTCTGCACAATTAGCCACAAGTGTTTCCCAAACTAGAATGTCGAAGTGTTAGATTACTCAACTGATACATCAAAAAAGCAAGACTGCATTTCACTTTTACTTTTCTTCATGTAATTTGAAGTTTTCTGTTCAAAGTTTCCACAAACCGCACAGCTGGCTAAAATCAATACCTTCTTATTTGTACATTTTAGCACTATTTAAGATATAGGGCCGGCTCACTGAAGCTCGTCTTTCAAAGTAACTTTTTGCATTCCCTAGCATCTTCTATACTATCTCGGTCTCATAATACAATATGTTATTACAGACAATATGGACAGAGGAGTGCATGTCAATTGTTCTTGTAATTTCCCATCAGTCCTTGTGTGTCGGCAGCTTAATTAGGCTGCTACTGAGACATGTGTCTATGCGCTCGGGAGAAGGAAAGCCGCTGATCTTGACCCCTCGAATCCAAACATAATTAGATTGTTTTTGTTACCACTTACCAGTAATCAATCCACAGCCATCATCCGCCGACTGAAATGCTCAAAGAGGTTCCTGAAAGACAAGGCCACCGCAACAGCCAAGCGAAAAAGGCAAGTGGGTCTGCCTGTGCATCAACGCAACTCGTTGTCAGAATCCCCTGTTGTTGCAATCTTCACTCTTACTCATTATCTATGACCCATGTTTTCAATACTCAATTCAATCATGTAATAATATGATATTCGTGTGTTGGGTGGCATGTAGGTCTCTTCGCGGGACCGGGTCAACTCGTTTTCTGTATTTTCATCTTATACTCTATCTGTATTTATTTATATTGGCACCCAGAAACTCCAATTGGGATCAATCAAGTGCACATTTGCCATGAACTGATAATGCATGAACTGCAGCCACCGACAAGCAACAAGTCTTGAAAACCCATGATAATGGCAAATAATGTACTGTATTATACAATAAGACAACAGTCAACACAAAGGTAGTGCAGGTTTACTGGCTTTTACTGTTGTCAAGTTATCATGAAGGTCCCACACAAGTTCAGTTTAGTAGCCAAGTGAACTAGTACGCACTTTGAACTTCTTTGGAACAAAAGCTGAAGGAGTCTAAACTGAAGAAACAAACTAAAGAGCAAAACCTGAAGTATGAACTAGTCTGAACTTTTACTTACCTGGAACCTTTTGCTGAACTGAAGCATGCTTGGGAGCAAGACGAGATTGGGGGTTTTGGGAGAACGTTGAGCAGTCGAGATGATGCAGGAGTGCATCAGAATGAAGGAGAGCGGTGGCGCTGCACGGGTGTCACCGACTGGGGAGGTGATGCAGATGGTCGGAAGTTAGCTACTACGTATGCAACAATAATTTTTCATAGCAATAACGTTGAACACACAGTATTCATAGCTTCACACAGAAAAGACAGGGTGGAAGGCTTATGAGCAGGCCCATACGGCAGTCGGGACTTGCTGTAAATGTTTGTGTTTCGAGAACATTTACTAATTTTTACATATTTTCTCTCCATATTTATAAAAACAATCTGAAAAAATGCCACACGAGTGACACAAAGCAATCTGGCCCTGACTATTTTACAACTAAAATTGCCATAAAAAACAAATTAAAAAAAAACAGAAACTTGCCATCTGAAAAGAAAGTAGCCATCGTCACTGAACTTGCCATAAAAAATGTCCGAAGTTATCATGTGTTCGTGTCACACGTGTGGCATTTATTATGATCTTTTTTAGGCCAGGTTGTCTACAAGAGCGACCGACATACTCCTAACCGTCACATTTTTTAGCGGAGCTCCTAACAGTCATATGTATCCCCAAAATGCCACTATAATGCCTGCATAAACGCTCCTGGGCCGCGGCCCAGTAGACCATTTGCTTGTCGCTTGCTCGCCCACGCTAGGCGAGAGCAATTAGCTGGGTAGTTCTCCTAAAAAGAGTTGGGGAGTACTCGTTGCGGGGTTCCTGCAAGTGTTATTTTTGGGCGCACTCTCAATCACCGTCACGTGTCGCATGTTGGACACTCTCTCATGATTTTTTTCTTTTGTACGCATTTTCGGTTTTTAGATGAACTTTTTCAGTTTTTCCTAGGTCTTTTGATAAAATTTCAAAAAAATTGAGCAAGAAAAAATGTGTTTTTTCTCTTTCGCGAGAGTCACGGATTTATTTCTCGTGGAGGCGTAGACATGCTCCCGCGAGAGACACAACAGTGCCTCTTGGAAAAGGAAAACCGTGTTTTTTTTGCTTTCGCGTGAGGCACAAATTTGCTTTCATGATAGGCACATATGTGCCTCTCAGAAAAAGAAAAAAAACTGGTGTTTTGCTTTCAAGAGAGGCACGACTTTACTTCACGTGGAGAGTTGTGCATCTAGGAAAAGGGAAAAATGTATTTTCTTTTTTCCCGCGAGAGGCATAGATTTCCTCATGTGAGAAGCACGGTTATGTCTCTCAAAAAAGCAAAAACAACGCCTTTTTTCGCGAGAGGTACATATTTGCTTCGCGTGGAGGTGCATATTTCCTTTTTCCGCAAGAGGCACAGTTGTGCCTCTTCGGAAAAGGAAAAATAATTGAAAAAAATTGTGCTTTCGCTTCGATTTTTTTGACTGTTTTTTGTGTGAAAAAAACTTCGTTGAAATATATAAACATGAGATCTAGTTTTGAAGATCTCGACGCGAGGAATTCAACGGCAAAAACGGTTTGGGATTTAGACACACGGTTTTTAAGAGATAAAACATTTTTAATAAACGAATTCTATGAAAAAAGAAAACTCCAAGGTTGCGACAAGTGATGCACATGCAGGGCACTGCTTCTCGCAGTTTGGGGAAGTGGGGAGTGACCTTTGTAAAGAGTACTCCTTAATTAATGATTTCAACATTTGGCGACCTATTTTTTTCTACTCGGTTTTCCTTGCCACTGTGTTGTCTCGGAGAAAAACAAAACTAACTACCTCTCTTTAATTTTGAAAAAAGGTGAAAAAGCCACGGATTTTAAAAAACAGGATTTAAAACATGCGTGAATTAATAAATATTCGTGAATTTGAAAAAATGATTAAAATATTAAAAATAATGAATTGGAGAAAAGTTCATGGTTCTATAAAAATGTTCAAATTTGGATAATATTCACAAAAGTTTAGAGAATTCATTAATCTTAAAAAATATTAACAAAACTGAAAAGGTTGACATATATAAAACTTGTTAATGAATTTTTTAAAGTTCACATAATTGAAAAATGATCATGGAGTTTTAAGAAAATGGAAAAGGAAAATAGAAAAGAAAATAAAAATCAAGTATAAATAAGAAATAATACACACACAAAAATCCAACCCGAATCTTCCCAAAATTGGAACGTGTTGGACATACATGGTCCGGCCCACTTACAAAACTAAGCGATGGGAGGGTGTGCACTTACCAGGAACGGTTTAATGCTTAAAGCGTCAAATAGCAAAAGTGTCATTCTAATCTCGAGTTCAAATGCTCTTGCACGAAGAGTAAAAAAAAGGGGAAATATGTTTTTTTTACAATAAACATTTGCTTAGTTTTCTGCCGCGTGCAATTGTTTGCGATGAAATCACATTCGTTGTGGTTTGGGCAAAAATAACAAAATCATCAATTCAAAATGCTTTCAAAAATAATAATTTTGAAGATTTTTTTCCAGAGCATTAGGCATGTCATTTCTTCACGCATAAGGCATAGTCGAGCCAAGATACGCCGACAGAGTACCACCTCCCCACGATTCATTGGTCACACAAGCCATGCCAAGCTTCAAGCTGAAGCCCTTAAGAGGAAATGTGACATTGAGTGTCATCATCACTTGATCGGGGAGACTCGGACCTGGAGTTACCCCCAGAGCATGTCGGGGGGATAGACAAGCACCATAGCATGCCACCTTCAACAAGGGGGCAACACCCACAAGTACCGCCATCGTTGGCTTCGACCGGAATCGAAGTCCGACTTTCACATATAGTTTCACCACACCAAACCATAGCATGCTTGTCGCCAGGACGCCATTCACCATCACATCAGGCAAAGCAGTTGCAACCTCTTGCGAACAAATATCGCCACCCCACATGGGGCCTCTAGATCCAGAACCAAGTAGATCCCGAACAAAGTTGTGCCAAAGCCACACCTCAACACGCTGAGGCCGCCGCATACCTTGTGCATCAACGCCGACGCGCCCACCACCCCTCCACCCCACACATCCACGTCATAGCATGCCTCGGGCCAAAAAGGAGCACAACCGCATCAGCACATTTAGCCACAAGACCGAAGCCATAAGGCGTGAGAACGCAAGCCAGGCGGCTTGAGAGACTAGGCATAGTAGCGCAAGTGCCGGCCAGCCGCTTGCCACACACATCGGGACAAGGCGTCACCACTCCACGACATCCAGCAGGGGAAGGAGATCGTGCCAGATCCACTCCAAACGACAGGTGGCTGACGACCAAGCGCACCACCTTCACCATCGCAACCACGGACACACTTCCTTCACCAAGGAGCAACTATGACACGCGTGGAGAAGCTTTTGACCGTTTGTCGCTACAGGAACCCCTTCTCGAAAAAGCACCACCATAGTTTGCCAGAGCCACTCCGCCGTCGGATCCGCGTGGGCTAAGCT